ATTTTTTTTTAATATGTTTTCTTCTAGATAAATTGGAATGCATCTCTTCCCCCTACACACACCTTATTTTTCTAGAATACTGTTTTAAGGAACTTTTACCTCAAACTGTACTACCACTTCTTAGTTTGTTTCGATAAATGTTAATATACATAACAGTCCAAATAAAAGGTGCGATTAAGAAAACACTGATTTGTCCTTTAAAAAATATACTGTCAAATTATACTGTTTCCTTAAAAAAAAAAAATCACAGATTTTTAACAGAAATTAAAGACTGAAGAGTCCACAAAGCTATCTTGAATTCGATTTTCATCTCAAAACCTATCACAGCACTTTTCTAGTGCATTTAAAAGTCCAGATGATGCAGATCTGCTAAAGCTGACCTATTTTCTGCAAAGTCAAGTCACATTCCAGTAAACTTCTGAGAAAATTTCAGTCTCACTATACATTTGGATATATATACATACTATTTCACCAGCTCTGTAACTGACTTGTTTCCAATTTTTTCTCCACCCAGGTTTTCTGAACAGCTTTGAGGAGTTACAAGCAGAGGAATGTGGTATTCTGAACGGATGTGAAAACGGCCGATGTGTAAGAGTCCAGGAAGGCTACACCTGCGACTGCTTTGACGGTTATCACCTGGACATGGCCAAAATGACTTGTGTTGGTGAGAATGGCATATTACTTCTTCTTCTTCTGTTAGTCTGTTAGTTTACTCAGTCACTTGACCTAAGGAGGCACTGGAACAAAGCGGTCAGAGATAATCACCTGAATTGTAAAGGCCAGTAAATATTGTTACAGAAATAACTACGTTGGTGTTCTTCAATTCATGTTGGTCATTACAGCTGTGTTCAGTTAAGAGCCCAGAAATGAGCAGACGTGCATTTGTGTAATGAAGATTAAACTTCCATCGATAATTTAACACTAATATACAGGACAAATGTTTTTCAAAGGCTTTAGTGAGCTAAGAGGATGGAACTGGATCCAGAGTAGAAAAGTAATTTTAGGACCAGATTTTTAGAGTGGTTGAATCACCGAAATATGCAGATAACCACTTGGTGGGGTTTGGCCGCCAATTCTCACTGATTTCAACGGTCAACAGACCAGATTATTCCTCCCACTCTCAAACTAAACTAGTAAATTTGCACAACTACTGACCAGGACATCTAATGACTATGTCTTCAATTAAAACAACAAAATATGAGAATGGCAAGTACCAGTGAGAAGATAAAGCAGAACAGCACCCCTCAGTGTAGAAGCCTAGTAGAGACCGTGCATGGGTATTTCAGTTTAAGGTCTCTACTCAGCTGACCTTGCTCAGCATGACGCTTCATAACCCACAGCTGAGGTCTCCCAGCTGTATCATGGTAAGCTGCCTGCATGCCTTGTAATCTTTAGGAGTTTATGGCAAGCTGGCCTCCTTAGTGAGAAAACATGCAGCTCCTGTGTATTTCAAGCCAATGCTGCACAATACTGAGTGCAGGTAGTTTGCTGTTCACAACTATTCAGTTGATAACGGCAACAGCTCCTAAAGCATTTAATTTTTTAAAATACAGATATTATACTAAAGACTTGAAGCTTCTTTCTTGTAAGCCACTTTTCATTCATGACATAAAAACCTGCAAATGGTTATTAAGTTTTTGTTTTGCAGCTTAGGCTTGGTGATCTAACACTTTAAGGTGTTTAATACACTATTGATTTCCTGTGACAACTTCTGCTTCTTCCCAGCCTAATTCCACCTGATCTGAACTGAAAATATAGTTCTCACTGTATTCATACAGCATATTCTACTCCTGGCAATGCTGGAAATAAATGAGTTCTACCTACACAGCAGAATTCAGTGCATGTGTTTTGCTGTCCCCTTTTTGCAGATGTCAATGAGTGCAACGAGCTGAACAACAGGATGTCTCTCTGCAAGAACGCCAAATGCATTAACACAGAAGGTTCGTACAAGTGTTTGTGCCTCCCAGGGTACGTGCCTTCAGACAAGCCAAACTACTGCACACCACTGAACTCAGAACTAGACAGTGAACTGGAGTAGAGGAAAATCTCCATATCATAAGCCCATATACTCTGCACTGTATAAAGAAAAGGAAGAGAAGTATTTAACTTGAGAAGAGAAGGCACCGGAGTAGCGAACGTAAGGGGAGAAAAGCATTAAAATGTGTCTAAAGGTGAGACATGATGGGTTGATTGTGTATCAGCTTCACTGAAGTGACAGACCAAATGGACACATTACTCTGTATGAAAGAAACAATCAACTATATAGTGTGTTCATAAGAAAAAAAATATCTTTAAATATAAGCAAAAACAGTGCTGTTATTTTAAACAGAAGAGCTTTGGTTTCATAACCCACAGCTGAGGTCTCCCAGCTGTATCATGGTAAGCTGCCTGCATGCCTTGTAATCTTTAGGAGTTTATGGCAAGCTGGCCTCCTTAGTGAGAAAACATGCAGCTCCTGTGTATTTCAAGCCAATGCTGCACAATACTGAGTGCAGGTAGTTTGCTGTTCACAACTATTCAGTTGATAACGGCAACAGCTCCTAAAGCATTTAATTTTTTAAAATACAGATATTATACTAAAGACTTGAAGCTTCTTTCTTGTAAGCCACTTTTCATTCATGACATAAAAACCTGCAAATGGTTATTAAGTTTTTGTTTTGCAGCTTAGGCTTGGTGATCTAACACTTTAAGGTGTTTAATACACTATTGATTTCCTGTGACAACTTCTGCTTCTTCCCAGCCTAATTCCACCTGATCTGAACTGAAAATATAGTTCTCACTGTATTCATACAGCATATTCTACTCCTGGCAATGCTGGAAATAAATGAGTTCTACCTACACAGCAGAATTCAGTGCATGTGTTTTGCTGTCCCCTTTTTGCAGATGTCAATGAGTGCAACGAGCTGAACAACAGGATGTCTCTCTGCAAGAACGCCAAATGCATTAACACAGAAGGTTCGTACAAGTGTTTGTGCCTCCCAGGGTACGTGCCTTCAGACAAGCCAAACTACTGCACACCACTGAACTCAGAACTAGACAGTGAACTGGAGTAGAGGAAAATCTCCATATCATAAGCCCATATACTCTGCACTGTATAAAGAAAAGGAAGAGAAGTATTTAACTTGAGAAGAGAAGGCACCGGAGTAGCGAACGTAAGGGGAGAAAAGCATTAAAATGTGTCTAAAGGTGAGACATGATGGGTTGATTGTGTATCAGCTTCACTGAAGTGACAGACCAAATGGACACATTACTCTGTATGAAAGAAACAATCAACTATATAGTGTGTTCATAAGAAAAAAAATATCTTTAAATATAAGCAAAAACAGTGCTGTTATTTTAAACAGAAGAGCTTTGGTTTTTTGGTTTTTGTTGTTTTGGTTTTTTTTACTCTTGCTTGATTAATTTGGCATTTAAATAGTGATGGAAATATTTTATATTACTATGTCATTTTTTGATTGTTCAGTTCCTTGCCTACTGTTTCTTTTCAGACCTTTTTTCTGATCAGTACAAATTCTATGATACAGATATTCTTAGGCCATTTTATAAGAACTGTTACACAGGGTAATGTTCTCTGGAACATTGGTCAGTGACTTTTTTTTTTTAATTTGCTAGTTGTCTGCCCTGTGGAGCAGGCACCATTTGTTTTCAAATGTTTATATACCTTGGCGAAAAGTCCTTATATTCATTTTGTATTCTGTATGATTTTTACTGCACTTAAAGTCTTTAGAACCTTTCTTGCCAAGTTCAAAGCTGCTAGTGGACAACATTGGATTCCTTTTGTACATTAAAACAAAAGATTTTAGCTCACGTCTGTATTGTAATGTGTAAATTGAACACAAGAGAGATCTTGTATGATTACCCTAACATATTAAAGCTGTATATTAAAACTCAATAAAATAACCTTTTTTTTTTAGAAAAAAACTATTTAATAATTGTTGGCATTTTTTTCTTTTGTTGGTGTTTATGTTATAAGAATCAACTCCTCAGGTGTTTACAGTGCTACAATTAATTTACATTACAATAGTTCTAAGAAGTTGTCTGGTTGCTTTTTCCTTCTCCTGCTGTTTTAGTAAGACCAGAATCTGAATTAGTTGATGCCTGAAGTTAGGCTTCCAAAGGGAAGATTTCAAACACAGACCTACAGAAACTGTTTGACTTGGAAGCTGATTTCGATGGAATTTTTCTTCTTTCCTGGTTTAGGCATGTTTCCCACTAAATCTGCAAATAAGGCTTTTCAGTGTGATGGCCTGGTTTTCAGAAAATACTGAAGAGGAGGGGGAGAATTTCTTTTTCTTGATGAACTGTACCTTCCCATCAGCTCTATTTTTCAGCGGAAGGAGAGAAAAAGATTAGGAGACTGACAGATAATTCACTTTGACCTTCTCCAGAGTGCAAGAGTTTGCTTTGGAAATCCCGAAACAGGTCCTTTTGATATTTTCCAAATGAAACATTTTTGCTGTGTCTTTTAGACCTGCCCTGCATTAAAAGGAAAAGGATAACATGAGAGTTTCAAAAGTGAGTTAAATTGGATCGGATTGTCTGAAAATCAGATTTTTATTTCTCATTCCACCAAAAAAAAGAAATACTTGTTTTGGTTCTGAATCAACTTTCTTTTACAACATTTAGGTCTGCCACTGAACCAAAAATATCATAAGTTTTGTTCCTTTCAGTACTGCAGACTCAGTAGGTCTCATTAAAGCCCAGGTGCCTGTTACCTGTCCTTCTCAGGGCATTTCCTCTCTATCTGCTGGAATTTGACACTAAGATAGTATCAGATCTTAAAAGTCTTCACCAGTCATAAAATGCAAGAAAAATTTCTTAATAGAACTGTGGAGAGAGCGATCTTTAAGGAAGAGACTCTGTGAAGTGCACAAGTCCCTTGACTTGTCTAGAATTAAGCAGGAGAGGAACGGAGAGCCAGTCATGCTTCTCAGTCATGCGAGGTAGCCTACAAACACTACTACTGGTCTATAATTACAAAAATATTAATTCTTGCTTACCTGCTGTGGTTAGGAGGAAGGAAGGAAGGTCTAGTCTTACTAGGGAATTCTGTAACTAGAACTTCTTGTTGTCCTGCTTAAGGTTAATCCTACAATCAAATACAATACAAAACAAAGTCACAGTTACAACCTTTCACTGGATTCAAGATGAGCTCTGCTCTGCTTTCAGCTATCTGAAAGATTCATAGGCAAGACAGTGCTCCCCCAACTCCCACCTCCAGACAGCCTCCTCCTGCTTCAGAAACTGGCTGTGTTCATCTCTGAAAGACAGCCAAGGCTCTAAAGCTGCCATTACAGTCAGCACCACAGCCTCAGATCTTCAACATCCCAGTTCTCCTTCAACTCTTCCCCAGCTAGGGAGCTAAAACGGCAGCTTGTCCTGGGAGTACACGAGTATGACAGCTGAGGAAATAACACTCAAACTTCAGTACCCTTAGAAGTCTTTGCTTGGCGACATGACCATATAATTCTGAGCCACAAGATTGGCTCCTTGCTGATTTATTACATCTTTTTAAAACAACACGTTCAGAATAGCCTGGGACTTTGTCATTCTCAGACAATATACACTCCCACCCCCCTTACTCTGTGTTATTTCAGACCCAAAAAAAAATAACCCAAACCCAAGTTGTTCCATAAGCAACACAACTAAAATGAATCCTGAATTCCTATAACCTTTCCTCGTGTCTCTCTCCTCAGCAGATTATCTCCAGCTCCTTGCATCTCTGCTATTTTCAACAAGCACAAAAAGCACCCATCTGCAGCTATGGGTGACATGCACATGCATTGACACAACTTCTGCCAAACCAAATGTTGTCCGTGCTTTCAGCAGGGAGGGTCAGTTGGGTCACTTGTCTCTAGCTGTTCATCAAACTTCACAGACCTTGGATTGTACTGGCCTTTTGTCTCAGCTGCCTTGCAGACATGGTTGAAACTAGTCACAGGGTTAAAAGCTACCAGTAGGTTCAGATACGGCATATGCTGGCTCTGGTTTCACAGAAAACAAACCAAGCAGCAAACCTAAGCCTAAGCAGCCTCCTGGCCTATCAATTTCAGCATCATCAGAATTGTGAATTCTGTTACCAATGCACAAAAGAGGTTTTGGTTTATCCAGCCACTTTCCATCTCCCCTGCCTAATTCAAGAGGGCAGCAGTTGACCCACACCCTAGCTGGGGCTTGAAAACATTCTCCTGGTTCAACAGCTACACTCTTCTATTACAGACACTACATAAGCATACAACATACATTGTGCATGCTTCTACCCTTCCCTTTTGCTTCTTCTTACCTCTAATATGTGCCTTAAAACACACACAGACAACCAAAAGCAGACCAAACAGCCTAAACTCCGCTTACACCCCAGCGCTTAGTACTGCACGTTGCCTGGCTCTAGGCCTCCAGAAATCCTTTAACAAAGGAACCACAACTGAAAGAATTCAGTGAAATTCAGCCGATCTGACCTCACCCTCTGGAGCCCACCTACTTTGCTCCAGTGTAGCAAGGCTGGGTCTGTCATTTCACCTGAAAAGCTGCAGGGCTTAGGAATACAATTTTGATTCATAGTTAAACAAACATTTTCTTAACATCATTAAGACGAGGGATTGGACACCATGGACGTAGCCATTTACTTGTTACAAGAGCTGCGGTTTAGGTGAGAGCCCTAAAAATACAGAAACCACCACGTACTATTCCATGATTCAAGTTTCTGAGTGCAGTCGAGTCTGGAAGTGATTACAATTTATACCAAATGGCACCAATACTTTTTACATCCATATGGACCCTTTAAAAAAATTAGTAATTTTTCAGCCAGCCATTTCCTTGCTACAAAAAAATAAAAGTGCTGACATGGTAGAACTGAATTCTGCAAGGCCCCTTATAATGGTGCTGTGTTAATGAGAATGAAGTTACGACAGAACTAGTGTTATGCAGATTTTAGCTAGAAAGATATTTAATATGAATAGATACTTTCATGTTGCGATGCTAGTCAGTTAAAAATTAGTCAGTGTTAAAACTATTCAAAGTGAGCACTAACATTCCTTGGGAAAAAACAGTCACAGCTGGACAGATCATTTCAATCCGAGAGACAAAACTGGCAGTCATGACAAATACTCAGCTAGTCAGTGGCAACTGACACACTCACATAAATTCCTGACTAAGAGAAGTCCTAAAACTCTAAAGGCGCCAATGTGGTTGTCATGACCTATTAGCTCCCAGTGATCCTCGCCCTCATGGGAGGGATTGAATCTGAAGTTTGGGTTCCTCACTGCCCCTTGAGTGATGTCCATCTGGCCACAGAGGGGCTTCTGGCTTTGGCACTCTTTCCTAACTTCTCAAAAGGAAAGGTGGCAGATCCCATTAGAGCATGTCACAGGCCTGGTTCAGCAATTGCAACACAGTGCATTCCTTCAAAGTGCACAGCAAACAAAAATCCCATAGCTGCCTCTAGAAGACACTACAGTATTGTTCTTTTAATAATGCCACCCACTTTGAAGAGTAGTTCAGTAGAGTCTGGAGACTCTGCTAACACCAAGCAGGCCAAGGGAGCTATTAAGGAACAATTCAAGCAAAGAAGAGGTGAACTGCTGGGTGCCACAGAGGCTACTGCTCACTTCTGAGATCATTATTTGGTATTTATATAGCTTTTTCTATCAGAAGATCTGAAATTTACCTAGGAAACCTAAGTTATGTGTCCAAAAGAGAAGCAAAGTAACTAAGAGTGAGTGAATAAGGAAAATCAGCCATTTACTGGAGGCTTCCCAATGAGTGACAATGTCAACTTGTGAGAGTAACAACATTCTTTGGAAGAATGCCAAGTACTGGGCTACAGTCAATGCATTCACCTGCAGGAATAATCTCACACAGCAGAAGAATTAGAAAATTTGGATCCTCTTGGGGCACCACCTCCACAGCTGGCACAGGCTGTGTTTGCACACCAAGCTGTGAAAGATCTTGAACCCTAATACCATCCCACCCCCACTAACCTTCACCATTTGAGTGCCCATATACCAAAAAGAAACGGGATTATCCTGTGACAACCTGCATTAGTAAGTGATTTTACTATCTGGTGGGGAAAGAATGACATAAACTAAAGAAATGCAGGATGTCAGCCATGTCAGCTTTCCTGCAAGACACTGAATCACCAGATACGTATTTTGACTCAGAGGTTCCTAACGGAAGTATTCAGGCTGCATGTTCTATCCCAGTTGTGTCTGGTGCCTATGATTGCTTATCTCCTGAGCAAGCTTACTGCTTTAAAGTTTGTCCTGCCTAAGGCAGGAGATTGCACTACGGGCCTCTAGCGGTCCCTTCCAAGCTACACTTTTCCATGAGAGGATGTTGAGACCTGACACAGCAGCCTCTGCTCCCTATACTTATGAGACAGAGATCCTGACAGCGGGGACATGACCCCTTCCCCTTCTTCTCCCACACCTGAGCACATGCCAGGAGCATTCCTCTCACTTTGGACAAAACAGAACACCAATCTGCTCAGCCTGGCTCAGGAGAATCCCATCCAGAGGGAGCATTACACACAACATGTGCCCCATTGCTTGCTATCAATCAATACGTTCTTTAAGACTTAGGTGAAAGGGAAGTTCTGCAGTAAAGTTTTTGTCCTAAGAGACACAGAGGAGGGGGGAAAAATTCAGATCTTGTTATTTCTTTCTACACTGCCTTTCCCTTCCCCTCAAGTCATGCTTTGCCACACACTGCTTTCCATTAGCTCTGAACTAAGGGGGATGGAGAGGATACTGCTAGCCAGGATGGAAAATTTCTACGTGACAATTTCAGCATCACCTCCAATCCCTATCTACTCATGCTGCCAGGATCCATTCTAGGCTGGATTTTTCCAAAGCACTCCATATTGATTTAGCTCCCCTCCCACCGAAACCTGTGGCACCTCCACAGATTCCAGTGGGAGTAGAGCAAAGGCTGTGCCAAACTCCTTTGAAAAAAAAATCCCACCATGTGTGTTTAATGAGGAATGTCTCTGGCAGAAAAGTTTAGAGTACAGCAAAGCAGATTTTTTTATTTCTTTCACATTAAAAAGTTTAATTTCTGCGACTTGTCATCGAGGAGGTAACTGCCCAGAAGAGTGGGTAGGACCTGTTCCAAAATCCCCAGCAGGATATAGTCTGTTATCACCTAAAACTGAATTCGACTTTCCTGTCATCCACACGGTCCCTGTCACTTTGTGAGTGGGCACCATTCTCAGGAATCACACCTCCTCTTCCTGCTGCAGGAAGCCATCCAGCTCAGCTCTGGCCACAAAGGCATTGCCCACTCGATACCCCTTTCCAGGGCCAGTCCTCACTGCAGTCCTGCTTCTGCTTTCCGCCTCCAGTGCACCCTGTCATTTGCTCATGACCCAAAGCCTCAGCGTCCCATGCAATCATTCCTTCCTGTTCACTGGCACCGGACTCCACAAAGTACTTTTCAGTCTTCAAGTACAGATCTGGCATGTGGTGAAACTGATAGCTACTATCCGGTACTCGGAAAAATCTTCCGCCAAGGTAAACTTATCACGTCCATCACAGCGGTCTCTCTCCTCACAGAAATAGAAAGCACCACCACCAAGTCAACTTTGTATTCTTCCCAAAAGTACCCAGAGAGATGTGACATGGTCATTTTCCTTCTTTTACCATAAGCAAGAAATTTAAAGTATGCTTTTAGCAATGAATGTATTCTTTGGCTTGCAGCATCTCCAAACTGAGCTGAATGGCAAACATGGAATAAGGAAGTTTCAAAAATAAAACAGGAAAGGGAAATCCTTCGATTTGTACAACAGTGAGCTGAACGAACACGGAATTTTAATTCACATTTGCTCATGCTTAGATGTCATGTTTTCCAAAAACTAAATAAAAATAATTATTACTTGAAAATTCCCTCAAGCTGAAAAGAAAAAAGAAAGGACCTACATTAACTATAGTACTCACTGGTATGTTAGTTCATTTCAGCACACTGAATATAAAACAAAGCAGGTAATAGGGAGCTCTTGAGGGTTTCACTATTGAATAAAACAATACATAGTGCATCCAGGCATATATATTAATTTCACTTCTGGTATTTGGTTATTCAGCCAGAAGGCAGCAATAAC